AACTAACTGATGGCACACTTACACAGCTGGACCAACACAAGAAAGTGGATGGGAGCTCAGACAGGTGAAAGAGTTCCCTTTGGGAGGCAGAACAGCCGAAAATCATTAGATTTTTCTAAGCATGAAACTGCACTTTTACTACTCCCTTTTACTGCTCATCTGACTTTTAAGCAAATTCTTCTAGTCCTAGCTTATCAGCATTTTTAAACAAGCACTACATACAATTGTGGTACATAAAGCCAGCAGAAGCAGCTGCCAATTGCTCCCTCTCACATGGAATGTTCTCTACAGTTTTTTACTAAACAAGTATCTAACGCTCACTCAGAACAGTTTAAATATATGAAACAATATAAATAGCTTCTGGAATATTCCAATTAACTGGTAAATAAAAATGTACTAGATAGTAATTTTTGCAGTGTTTCTCAAATACACCTCTTTCTCCTGTGTTGCTCTATGTTTAAATGTTAAGGCTCCAAGAAAGCAATGATGGCTTTGTCCTTTAGAGCATATATACAACATGCTTCTTTTAGGTTGGACAGAAAACATTTCTCAGGTTTGATTGGACAACTATAATATTTCATACATCATGTTGCCAGCAGACTTAGCAGTTTGAGCAGAAAAAAACCAATAAACAGTCCTTTTCTATATGTTCAGGACTTCAGCAACGAAATAGGAATCTACAGCTATGAGGACTACAGTTCTTTGGTCAGACATTTACTAGTAAAGCAAATTACTAGTAAAGCAAAGACCTGCATGCTGAAACCAAAACAATTCAGGCATTAGAATCTGTATACAACAAGCATTTTGGATTTCTTTGCAAGGCACTGCTGTCGTATAGCACAATCTGTTCCTCGGGGCTCTGTAGTGGTCCCAGTCCTGTTTAATAATTTTATCAACAATCTGGACAAGGGGATTGCGTGTACCCTCAGTCACTTCGCAGATGACACTGAGTTGGGTGGGAGTGTTGATCACCTGAAGGGCAGGAAGGCTCTGCATCTCTGGACAGGCTGAATCGATGGGCCAAAATGAACTTCATGAGGTGTAACAAGGCCACAAGGCCAGTTGCCAGGTCCTGCCCTTGGGTCAAAACAACCCCATGCAGTGCTACAGGTTTGGGGAAGCATGGCCAGAAAGATGCCCATTGGAAAAGGAACTGGGGGAGCTGGTCTACAGCAACTGAACTTGAGCCAGCGTCTGCCTGGATGGCCAAGAAGGTCACTGGCATAGCGTGGCCAACAGGACCAGGCAGGGATTGTCCCCCTGTACTCAGCAGTGGGGAGGCCACACCTCAAACCCTGTGTTCCATTCTGAGACCCTCACTAGAGAGAAAGGCTTTGGGGTGCTGGGGCGTGTCCAGAGAAGGGCAAGAGAGCTGGTGAAGGGTCTGGAGCACAAGTCTCATGAGGAGCAGGTGAAGGAGCTGGGATTGTTCAGCCTGGAGAAAAGGAGGCTCAGCAAGGCCCTTATCACTCTCTACAAATACCTGAAAGGAAGTTGTAGCCAGGTAGGTGTCAGCCTTTTCCCCAAGTAACAAGGGATAGAACAAGAGGAAATGTCCCCAAGTTGCACCAAGGGAGGTTTAGATTGGATATTGATAGAAATTTCTTCACCGAAAAGGTTGTCAAGCTTTGGAACAGGCCTCCCAGGGAAGTTGTTAAGTCACCATTCCTGAAGGCATTTAAAAGGCATGTAGATGTGGCACTTAAGGACACGATTTAGTGGTGGACTTGGCAGTGCTGGCTTTACAGTTAGGTTCAATGACCTTAAAGGTCTTTCCCAACTTAAATTATTCTAGTTAGCGATCCATATAAGACAAATACTCTAAATCTTCACCTTTTTATTCTTTTGAGTTTTCTCATTCTTCTTTCACTAGAGATAAACCACTAGCTTTTAAAGTAATCAGCAAAGAGTTAAACACGTTCCTGTAGTCTCTGTAACAAAATCTTCCCTCAAAATGCTTCCTCAAACTCCATAACTTTCTTTATAATTGACCAAACATTAATTCAGTAGCTGGCTCACCTACTAAATTAAGCTGTTATAACAACTAGCTTTATTCAAAGCACTGGGACCCAGCACACAAGGTGATCACCATTCATATCTTCTCCCTAAATGAGTGCATGGGACTTTTTCAATCTTTCCAATACTTATACAATATTCCCCCTGGGATTTCCATTCTTATTGACTCAGCTTTGGGAAGGAAACTGAATGTTAACCTACTGGACAGGGGATTTACAGTAAGATCTCCCTGTGCAACCTCAGAAGCAGGCTCTACACTGTTGCAGGTGGTGTTTTCTTGTGACTAGAATGTAGATGTAGATTACCAGCTGTGCCAAGTTACAAACTGAGTCAACAGAGCAATTGTTTGAAACTGAGAACAGAATTTGAAGATTCAAATCATATTAAAAAATACCCAAACCAAAACAAGCATTCATATTAGAGCAGGAATGAAAGACATGGAACTGAGTCTCTTTTTGACAGGTCTTTTTCTCCAGATGCTTCAGCAGTAATTCTACATGCTCAACTAAAACACATTTTACATGTAAAATTATCTTGTGTGCAGAATATGAAAATAGACATTAATGTGAACAAAAACAGATAACTGCAGTGCTCAGTGCTTTTTACATACAGATACCCTTTTCCTTCATATTGCAAGTCTATTTCTGCTAGATGGACTGTGAAAATCAATAGCAAACTCAATTTGCTAAATAACTTGCAAGGCCTGACTTGGCTAAGGGAATCTGGACTCAAATGATTTGTGCAAACCTACCAGCAAGAACTCCATGGAAATTCTTAATTTTTGCCATTTGGTCACTGGCAGGCAGCTTTGAAAGACCAAACTAATTTTGATCTGCATTTTTGCACTTGCACATATGCATTAAGAAAAAAAAATAGCCAACAGGCAAATAGTTTTCCCTAAATAAATTACTAGAAATAATTCAAGTATGCTTAGAAATCTTGCTGCTGAAGACACAGTCTTTTGAAAAAATCAACACAATCTGAATACAGTCTTTTTTTCAGGAAACAATGTGCTTGGTGATATGACTTTTAACTCTCTCATAAAGCTGTCATAATGCTAAAATCAGATGCACCCTCTTAATATTTTCTGTATTGTTTATCAGCTGAGTGGCAAAATAGCCAGTAACCAGAAAAAGCCACTGGAACAAATACAGTAATTTCAGCAGAACAAGTGTTTTGCTCAAACAGTTAAATATTGCATTCACCTCTAGCTTCAGCAGAATTCCCTGTCCAGTGTGCTCCTTAAAAAGTCAAATAGTTCCTATAAGGCATCAAGTCACTTTGGCACACATAATTTCCCATTTGGCAAACTGGGTTAAGCAACTCTGGGCAGCATTAGCTGCCTCTGCATTGGGGAGCTGACAGACATCACTGTACCTTTACTAATGCAGCTACAATGGCCCCGTCATACATAAGGAAACAGGTGCTCAAACAAACTCCTTACAAGGCCTTAGCACAGTGGCATGACAGCCTGAGCAAACTCTCTTAAATGCTCCATGAGGAAAGTGTTGGGATTAACTTCCAAAGGTCATGTTCCTGACTAACACATCAGAACCACAGAAATGGAGAACAGACTGAAAAGGCTTGCTGGGGATAACCTCTTTACGGTGTGCTGGCTCTGTCCTCAGAGGTCAGAGATGCCCCGATTTCCACAACCATCCCTTCTTTCTGCACACTGATGCTCTAGCCTTCTTCCACTCTGCTTGTAAGGTGCATCTAGAACTTCTGCTCTTTCATTTCCAGATTAATTTCTAAGGTTTTTTATTTTTTTTAACCACGTAAAAATTTTCTAAACCAGACCTGCCTTCAGTTAGCACCAAATTCGATTTGTAAATACTAGTATACTAGTACTTCTGAGTGCAAAAAGTGGTCCTGTTATGTTTTTGCCACTTACCAGTTAGGCAGGGTCGACCTGAGCTTTTTATTATTTTTTTCAATGCTCTATACTCCTAGTGCACGTACAGTGGGAAGAAACGCGGGACGACAGCGCTTTAATTAGAGGATGAAGACGACGGAGGACGGCTACCACGCCAACTCGCAGGAGCAGCGCTGCTCGGCGCCCGAGGGGGGGTGCGGGCAGGGCTACAGGACCAGGCGGGGAGGGGCTGAGGGACTGCCCCGGGGAGCCCGGACACCTCCCACGCCCCAGTGCGCTTCTCCCATCTTTTCTCCCTTCGTGTCGGAGGCTGCTCTCCGCTCACTCCCCATGAGCCGGAGCCCCGGGTGTTTCTCGTCAAGGAAGGCAGCGGCCGTGGAAGGAAGGCAGCTCCTCTCCCAGGGAGACTCCCTGCCCCAACCCCGGCGAAGCCCGCCCTTTAGGAGCAGGTGGCGCATCCCGGGAGAGCCTTCCTCCTCCTCCTTCTCCTCCTCCACCTCCTAGCGCTGGTGGCCCGGAAGGGAAGTCCTGCCCCTCCTCCTCATCCAGCTCCCAGGTGGCAGCGGCCATCTCCGTGGGTCCCTCTTCGCTGCCTCGCGCGGCTCCGCTCCACCTGTAACGCAGTCGCGGGGCGGGCAGAAGGCGACTGCCCCCCGCCCTCCCGCTTCCCTCCGCCCGCCCTGCCTCCCGGGACACGGCCGCCGCTTCCTCCCGCTCCGGCTGCGGCCCTGACGTCGCTTCCTTCCAACATGGCGAGGGCAGGTTGTTGCTGCGGCCGCCGCCGCCGGTGCTGATGGAGGCGGGCGCGGGCCGGAGGCGGCTCGGGGACTGACGGGCGCCGTCCGCGCACACACGCATCGGGGGCGGGAGGAGAAGGGAGGAGAAGGCTTCGTCTTCCCTCAGCCGTGGGGGTTGGCTGTCGGCGCCGCCCGGGCCCACCCCAGCCTCCCCCGGGGGAGCCGCCGAGCGGGTGTCGGGACGCCCTGCGAGGGAGCTCTTCCCCCGCGGCCGCCGCGGCCCCTGGCAGCGCTCCCGGTGGGAGAGGCCGGTGCTCCGTTCTTACTTCCCCGCTCCACCCTCCTCCTCCTCTCACGGCTCGATCGCGCCCATGTATGAAGGGAAGAAGACGAAAAACATGTTTCTGACCCGGGCCCTGGAGAAGATCCTGGCCGACAAGGAGGTGAAGAAGGCGCATCACTCCCAGCTGCGCAAAGCCTGCGAGGTGGCATTAGGTGAGGCGCAGCTCGGGCGGGCAGGGAAGGGGCGGCCAGAGGTCGGGGTGCGCTTCGGGGCCTGCTTTCCCTGTGTGTGTTTGTGTTGTGGGGGGGCTGTGGGGCTTCTGAGGGAATGAGGCAGAGGGGCTGCCCGGCAGGGAAGGGTCGGGGGCGGTGCGGTTGTGGGCTGAGCCGTGGCACAGGTTTGGGTGGTGCAGCACAGCCCCCCGGAGGTGTGGGCGCCCTGGGCTGCGGGCGAGCATCGCCCCTCGCCGGGAGCGGCCCCGTGCTGACAGCAGCGGCGAGGGCGCTGCGGCGCCCGCCGGGCTCTTCGCCTCCTCCTCCTTCCCTCCTCCTCCCCGCTCGCAGGATGAATAGGCAGACACGGAGCTGAGCTGAGCTGACCTGGAAGCAGACGGCCGGCGGGGAGGGAGCAGGTGACAGGCAGCGGTGAGGGCGGAGGGACGGGTGAGGAAGAGGGGGTGGCGGAGAGCGAGAGACAATGACACTGGGCCATGTCTGGAGCTGGTGGCTCTTTGGAGCCTGGAGGAGGGCTGGAGAAGGGAGAGGATGGTCCGGGAGATGTGCGAGGGAGAGCCTTAGGCGAGTTGTTCCTGGTGCAGAAACAGCTGATGGGGAAGAGAGCTTCCTTCATGCATAGCGCAGCTGGAGCGGCCATGGATGATAACAGAACCACAGAGTTGTTAGGGTTGGAAGGGACCTCTGGAGATCATCTAGTCCAACCCCCATGTTGTTGGATTCCCAGGATGTGGGAGCGTTTACTTCTTCGGGCCGAAGGAGGGGTGTTGGGTTTGTAGTGCAGCTGTGTCAGCGCCGCCTCGCCTGGAAGCGTGAGGGAAGTAGCGGTGCTGGATAGTACAAAGCACATGTAGGCATCCTATTGCAGGCAGCTTAAAAGGACAACTTGGGCTTCACGATTCTGACATGATGAGTACAGGCGGGCCTTGAACCTATGTGGCAAAATACTGACATACTTACTGAAAGACTTCTAGAGAAAACCCCGTTTCATTTAAGTAATACGTAAATGGATTATGTCCCTCCCTTTCTAGTGTAATTATTTCTGGTTTAGGATAATTATCTTGATTTTGTACAGTAATGTCTGATTAAATGGATTTGTTTGATGAGATAATGTTAAATTAAAGCTTGCTTGTTTTAAAAATAAGTAATTTGAAGTTGTTCTCTTGTCATTCTGTTAATTCGTATGTTAGTGCTTTTTTTTTTCATTAAAAACCCCCATTCTTTTCTTGATTTCTTTTTCTGTGAAAGATCCTGACAAAGGGAGGGGCAGAAATAACTGTACTTCAGCTATTTATTTCTTCTTAATTAAAATCAATGAGAAACAGGTTTTTTATTTTATCTTATGATTTATGCAGATGAGATTAGATTTATAACCCTTTGGCCCTTCTGTTGACTTTAGACTGTGCATTCAAGTTAGAAATAAAACCAAGAAGTGTTTTTTTATTGTTAAACTGAATTTCTGTCCAGTCTGTATGTCATCCATAGAATTAGACACTGGTATTAATCTTGTGTTTCTGCCATACTTTATTTCAGTAGCTTAATCTATCTTAAGTATCATCCAGATCCCTCCAAGCTTGTCTCCATTGTGTTCTGCAGATTATAAAGCAAGCCCTCTAGACTGTACAGTCTGCCTCTTGTGTCATGAAAACTGATTTGTTTGAGAAGACCCTCAAGCACACATCCCAGTGGTTTCTATCCTACAGTTTTATTGAATCCTTCTCCTGTGCATCTGATTTGGGCTTAAATAGGAAAACAATGTGATGTGGGTATAAAACCCATTAAGGCAGGAAAGAAAAAATGGAAGGTTGTGTGTACTACCTTATGTATATACAGGGCTTTCATGAACTTGAAAAATACCAGACATGATGTTAACTACTGTAGAGGCTTATTGAAACTTCTTTTGGTTACAGCACAGCAAAATACAGTGATTGTAAATTTAGCATGGTCCATTGTCTGGTTTTGTGTGTGGTCAGAAGTGGCAATATGTAACTCCTGAGCAGAGTAGTGGTCATGTCTATCTGTAAGAAGGTTTTTGGAGAAAAGTACCTATCATCCATATTTCACATACAGTCCAATTGGCTGTTAAAGCTGAGCGGTGGTTTTTGCAGCAGTGTTTGAAATAGGATGCATGTGTTGTGCTCTGTCCCTTTAGCTCCTCATCTGTTGAGACTACAGCTGGATGCTTCTTTGCCATCTTAAGCAGGGGGTATGGACTTCTTACTGCTTTATTTTGAAGAGCAGCAACATTAATGATAAAACATTAGTAAAATTGTAATTTAGAATTGTATTCAATTTGGTGCTAGGTCTGGCAAAGTTTAACTTTATGGCTTTATTGGATTTTTTTTTTAAATGGTAGTTAAATAAAAAGTAGCTTTTACTAGGTCTGGCAAAGTTTAACTTTATGGCTTTATTGGATTTTTTTAAAATGATAGTTAAATAAAAAGTAGCTTTTTAAAATCATGGCAGTACTTCCATGCCTCCAAATCCATATCTTCCAAATCAAAGTCTTTTTTTTCAGTGTGAATATTTGATTAGTCTTCACTGAAGTTATCTGTGTGCTCCATTAAGACCTTTTTTCCAGCTGCATGACAGCAGTAAAATGTTGCTTTTTATATACTGCTAATAATAGGTCAGATATTCTAACTAGTAGTTGTTACTAATTCAGGCTTTTTTATTTAATTTTCTAAAGCCACTATTTACATTGTTTTATATTATTTGTATAAAATTATCTGTTATTCAAGTGTTTGATAAACATTATCAGAAATACTGTATCCCTGTACAACAGGCAAACTAACAGTAGCTCTGCTTTTTAGTTTGAATTTAACAAGCAGTATTTTAAGAATCTTTAATGCCTTCCAATTGTCATTTTTAGTCCCCATATATTTTCTTACAAATGTGTTGCATTCCATTAAGATTATACATCATCTATTTTTAATTTGTGAGTCTTAGGGAGAAAAACCTTGCAGCATTCCAGACTGTGGCAGTTCGACCTCTGAACAGGTGTTAAGATGACATCCTTCTAGTATGACCATATTTTCTGATGATTAGAAGATAAGAAAGCAAAATATTAATTAAGTAACACAACCTGAATTATAGATGTTCTTTAGCTTTTTAACAGGGATGAAATTAAGCCTGATACTTGTAGCATCCTGTATTTGATGATTCGCCAGGTTGTGTCTGGGTTTGTACAGGACAGTTGAGTTTAATTTAACTTTGTCCTTTCTGAGAGGTTTTCTCTCTATGTGGAAAACATAAGATTTCTTTAGTCAGCTAATGAAGTACAGTTAATTTAGAGCTTTGTATTGTTTACTTCCATAGCAACAATTCTTAATCTGTGTAAGGAATGAGTTTATCCTTGAAATTGTCCACTTGCAGAAGGCATGAGGCAGCAAGCTGTCAGAAGGATTATTGGATTTAGAAGCTCCTTTTCCAGTGAGTTACCTCCACTGCTGTTTCTGTATTGCTTTTCAGCCATGCTACGGTCTAGGAAACCTTACTGTAAAAATACTGTGTTTGCATAAACAATGAAAGGTCTTGGGGGGGAAAAAAAAAATCCTCATCTGAACATAAAGTTTTTAATAGACTGAACAAAAACCTGTTAGTGCTTCGTGTCAAAATCTGGAGCATGTATTTGTCTGCCTGAAAAGGTGGTTTCAGAGCACTAAGCTGTGCAAAGCAGAATGCCCTGCTTGCATAAAGTCTGCTAGTTCAACTGCAAATCAGGAGTCAAACAGCTGTTCCATAAAACTCTAAGCCACAAGTGATATGAAATTATATGGATATGTCCCTAGTACGTACTTTAAAGAAAAGTATGCATATGCTGCCTGGAGTTCTGGAGCTACCAACTGAAGAGGCCCAAAACTTAGTTGTAAAAGGTTCTTTAGTGCTCCTTGTATAATTTATTTTAGTCAGTCATGCAAGGGTCCCGCTGAATGATGTAGTGGTCTCACACAGTGTGAAAGTAGCATCTCTGTTCAGTTTGTGCTGCCTTTGTGTGTGTGTAGGATGATGGAGCAGTGGGCTATAGTTAAGCACTTGTTTTCTCTGGAAACAGGTAATGCTTGGAGTAGAACTAACCTAGAGGTGTGAAGGTTTATCTGTGCAGGTCTGCAAATGACCTCTCACTTACTTAAGTTTTTGTGTCTCCCTTTTTACCTTTCCTAGTTTCATTTTGTGTCCTTTGCATAATCAAGCAATCGTGATACATGAGAATGAGTGTGGTTAATTGATATTGTATATGTGTTGAAAACACTGGGAGCATTGGAAAATACCTTCCTATATTATAATGAGCAGTTAAAAATGCATTTTAAAGACCATAATTGTCTTACTGCACTGAAATTAATTTTACTGGAGAAGTTGTGGATGAGCTAAATTCCTGTCTGTATTTTGGATAGTGCTGTTTTTGGTAGGCTGCCTTCTATTTTTCATGAAAACTAGTTGTCCTTTTTTAGAAACTGAAGGGCAGAATTTTTGGAGTTTTTTCTTTGCTGGATACAAAAGAGATTGGTATTGCAATATTGTGTGTTGTCTTCATGTCCTATAGGCTTTTATTTTCACAATCTACAAGTCACTGTTGTCCATAAAAATGTTTTTCTGGTTGTATTTCTTCTTCTGAAACACTTGTTTGTCAGCAAGGAGGATAAATGGAGATTTCATGCTAGTAGAAACCAAGATGTATGTGTTTTTTTTTTTTTTTTAAACCAAAAGCCCTGAAGATTGCCAGAAACCAAGATGTATGTGTTTGTTTGTTTTTTTTTTTTAAACCAAAACCCCTGAAGATTGCCGCTGCCCTTCTCTCCTTTACCAAGCTTGGGCTTTGACTAGCAGTTTTTCAGTGTGGTTAAGATCTACTTTTGCAAAGATTTAAAACTTGGCTTGGTAACAGTAAGGTTTGGTTGGCCCTATAAACTGTTTTCCAGGTTGCCTTCAGCATTTGATTGTTTATGTAGAGTTTATGGGGCTAATTTAAGGAAAGTTGT